AACTTCAGTCCTCCGGGTGTTTTGGACTTCAACTCCCACAATTCCTAAGAGCTGGTAGGCTGCTAGGAATTGTGCAAATTGAGGTCCAAAACACCTGGAGAGCCGAAGTTTGCCCATGCCTGATCTAGGGTGACTGTGAGATGGATGATTTGGTAGGAAGTGTGAACTGCTGGAAGATAGTTTCTAAATACAGGGGTCTCTCTTGAATCTCTGGAGAAGAAGAGAAAACAATAGTTTGAGAAAAGGTGACACACTCCTCTTAGCTCTAGTGAGGGTGCCAATAAAGCTGTATGAGAGAAAAAGGGGATGAGGGAGGAAGGAAACTCTGAGTTTTGAATCTGAGCTCAGCTACAGGTCAGAAGCACTTTGGTGTATCAGGTACTTTCCTCCACCTGAAGATGATGATTATGATGATTTTAGATTAGGCGATCCCTCGTTGGCCGAGTAGGAAAGTCTTCCAGGATCAACATTCTTGTGAGTCTGTAGGTGGCTGTGGAGCCCTATTCTTGATCTGACCTCCAGCTGGAGCACTCAAGGGCCAGGGCTCCCAGTTCTCAGTGTCTATGCCAGAGTTTTTAAGGTTGGCTTTGAGCCCATCTTTAAATCTCTTTTCCTGCCCACCAACATTCTGTTTTCCGTTCTTGAGTTTGGAGTAGAGCAACTGCTTTGGGAGATGGTGGTCGGGCATCCGGACAACGTGGCTGGTCCAGCAGAGCTGATGGCGGAGGACCATCGCTTCAATGCTGGTGTTTGACCGCCTGTCTTCCCAAGAGATTTGCAGGATTTTCCAGAGGCAGCGCTGATGGAATCGTTCCAGGAGTTGCATGTGACGTCTGTAGACAGTCCACGTTTCGCAGGCATATAGCAGGGTTGGGAGGACAATAGAGTTATAAACAAGCAACTTGGTATCCCTACAGATGTCCCGGTCCTCAAACACTCTCTGCTTCATTCGGAAAAATGCTACGCTCGCAGAGCTCAGGCGGTGTTGTATTTTGGCGTCGATTTTGACTTTGGTAGAGAGGTGGGTGCCAAGGTAGCGGAAATGGTCTACATTTTCTAATTCCCTTGATAGACTGTCATCTTTTTGTGGTGAGGGGGTTTGCATGTTCCGATGAACTTGTGGGCACAACAACTGGAGTCGTGCACTCCCAGGAGTGGCCCCAGGGAAGGTTCCAAATCAAGCACAGTCCGAAGACCCAAAGACCTCAACGGTGGAGCAGGCGGAGGATAACTTGATACATGTTACAATGATTGTGAAGGCGGAAGAAGGCTGCAATAGACTGAGAAGCCACGGTCATTGTGTTAAACTACACTACCAGTGGAACCTCACTCTGTGAAGATTGTGTGTTGATCAGTTGATCAGCACTGACCTCCACACATTAAAAAAACTCACACAGGCTTCTTCCAAAGAAAATAAAAACAAACCAACAAAAGTCCCATGGCGATCAGCGAGTGGCGACGGGGGCAGGACTGTAAAATCTGGAAGCCTCTAGTCACAGACTGGCACATGGGCGGTGGGTACGGACTCAGTCGTTCTACCTCAAGGTCCGTGGCAGTTGATTAGTTCGGCAGCTGTATCCACGACTGAGCAGCCCTTTTTAGGACCCACTCTGCTCACCCCACATGGGGAAGGGGCTAGAAAAGGTGCCCTAAACATAGTCTGCCTCTCTTATCCCTGACTGGACTGCCATGTCCAGTGGGATCACCCCCCTGCAGCCAAAAAAGAAAAATAAACTTCGGTACATGAAACGTACGGACACTGATGGACAACACTGACAGTGAACGCCCCGGACGCAGAACTGCCATCATTGCAAGGGAGCTGGGAACTTTAACATTGACATAGCAGCATTTAAGGAGACCAGAAGAGCAGGAGAGGAACAGCTGAAGGAAGAAAAAGGAGGCTACACCTTCTTCTGGAAGGGACCGCCCGAAGAAGACCAAAGAATGCATGGAGTTGGCTTTGCTATCAGAAATGATCTAGTGAAACATCTGACCGAAGCACCCACTAGCATCAACAAACGACTCTCCACCCTCCGAACTGATCTTGCCAAAAACCAACAGGCAACCATCATAAGTACCTATGCACCAACACTAGATGCTGATGAAGACATCAAGGAAAAATTTTTACTGTCAGCTGGACACCGTCCTATCAGGGAAACCTAAGGAGGACAAAATCATCCTCCTGGGGGACTTTAATGCAAGAGTCAGGCAAGACTTCGACCTGTGGCCAAGATGGGGTTGGAAACAGCAACTCGAATGGTATCCTGCTTCTCACCAAATGTGCGGAACACAACCTTGTCATCACCAACACACTCTTCCGCCAGAAAAACAAGTTCAAGACATCATGGAAGCACCCCCGGTCAAAGCATTGGTACCTCTTAGACTATGTAATCACACGTGCCAGAGATCGCCATGACGTGCTCCCCACAAGAGCCATGACAGGTGCTGACGACTGCTGGACGACTGCTGGACAGGTTAATCTGATCCATGATGGCTATCAAGATCGCCCTCAAGCGCAGACTCCAAGGAAGAAAGACAAGGCACAAAATGAACACCCAAGCCCTTCAGGAGCCCTCCAAACGAGCCCTGATGATGATGATGATGATGATGATGATGATTTAAAGCATTTATATTCTGCCCTTCTCACCCTGAAGAGGACTCAGGATGGAGCGCAACATAAATACAATGCCGGAATAAAAATAAACTATAAATATACACAAAATTTAAGATTAATGTATGACTGAGGACATTTCTGTTGCTTGGTAAAAGTGCCATGCTGTTTTGCCTTTATTCAGGGACACTCATATGGTTCAGAAAATACCTGGGTTTGCCCTTGCATAGGTCTCAAGGCAGGGAGAGCCATATCAAGCTCTACTTGGAACACAGTGAGCCACGTTAGAGAAGTGGTGGGGAATTTCCAGCCCAGGGCCCATATATGGCCCCCAAGATCATTTGATTTGGTCCCAAATACGAATCAAGTACTAACTTGAATTCGGTGCCTTTAACAATCCTTGCAAAAACTGTATCTCAGATGAAGATTAAGGAAATTACAGTACACATAAAAGACCTTAAGAACAGATGAAATGAGCATTGAACATGTTTCAAAGTCAAGATGCAGGATTAGAACAGCAATCAAAGCCAAATAATTGGCACCCAAGACCATGCAGCTGTGGCACTGTGAGTGGAGGGGCACCCTTGATGGCCTCCCTGGATGGACCAGAGTTTAAACTGCCTGGGTGTATGTGTCTGGTGAGGTAGTTCACATGGGGAGGGAAGGGCCAAAGGTTTTATAAGTCCTACCTACCTACCTTTGGCCTTCTTTCTGTTCTTTTCAAGGCTGGATCAAGAGAAGTGCTGCATCGCTCCACAGGAACCCTGACTGTGATATCTGTGGATCCTTTTTGCCTGGTTTGTTGGATTAAGTGTTGGTATGGGGTTGAAGGTGGACTGTGGGCAGCACTGTAGGAGGTGGGAGGCAGGTTGCAATTTTTGAACTAGGTTTTTCCATCCTTTCTCCCTCTCCTTGCTGCCCCAATGCCCGTCAGGTGTTCTCCCTACAATGTTGCCCTTTATGCCTGTGACGATTCTGACATGGATTTTCCAACAGGGCACAACGAAGGCCAGGAAATGTTCTGCCCATGGGCTGTATAAGACCCATAAAATAATTTGGTGTGGCCCAGCACAGGGAAGGGCACCTGCTCCAGCCTGCCCACTTAACGGATCCTGTTGCTCCTGTGATCTGACACACTGACTCTTCTGTAAGCCAAGTTCCACTTACTAGTCAGACCAGAGCCAGCTTGTTCTGCATCTTCCACTCTTATTTTTGCCTGCTGAACCGAAGCCTGTAAGCTTGTGTGCATGCAGGAATTTCCCTGTGCCATGAGGTCTTTGGAAGTTTTGTTTGGTATGTAAGATATAATTTTTATAAAATATGATAATATATAATTGTATAACTTATTTATTTATAATTAATTAATGAATAACTATATGGCCTGCAAATTATGCTATACATATTCAAATGGCCCTTTGCAGAAAAAAAGTTCCCCACCCCTGCACTATTTTGAATAACTGGAAGTGACCAGCATCATTTTCAGTCATCTTCGGGCACACTCTTGGATTCCCCCCCCCCATTTTTTTCAGGATAGCCCTCTGAAATAGTATTTTAAAGCAAAAACTAGTCTATTTTTTCACTCTAAAACTTTTCTGGATTTTGTGATATTATCTGGAACAGGGGTATTGCAGATTGGAAGCACTAGGAGTTACCAAGGAATCCCAAAAGTCTACATATAGTCCACAAGTGCACGGCTCCTACACCTTCCTTTGTAAGTTTGGTCAGAAATTGAGACAAGAAAAGTGGTTCCTTTGTTTTCTGTTTCTCGTCTTTTCTGATGAGGGAATACACCAGCCGCTTAAAATGTTCTGGAACAGCATGGAGTGGGTGCCTTAAGGCATAAGCAGGATTAACCACTGCTAGTACTACCTGCCACTGCCATTTACCTAGCATATTTGGTGGTAGCTATGTGCTATATTTTGAACAGTATTTAAATGGATTATATGTTATTGTTTTAAGATTGTAATGCATATTATATTTTATTTTATATGTTTTTATGTTGTAATGCAACATTAAATTATTGCCAATTTGGAAGCTGCTTTCAGTCCCCTTCAGGGCTGAGTGGTGTAAAAGCAGAAGGAGCAGTAACTACTGCTGACCTGTACAACACCCCTTGGATAGCATTTCTTCCTTCTACCATTGCCAATTATATCTCTCCTTTGATCTTATTTGTGGAAGCTAGAAGCAGTAGTTGTTGCTCGACTTTATGGATATACTTTACAACTTTACTTGGAAGACCCAAAAGAGATTTTGTTGCTACTGTAGGCTACAGTAGGCCTATAAAAAGAGGTGGCACATAGTCTAATTCCAGTTTTTAACATTTGGGAGGTTTGGCCTGAGTGGGAGCAGTCAACCTCCCAAAACATGAAGCCATTTTTCCTAAAAGAATATGGATGCAGGTAAAAGTATATATTAATCATCATTGCTTTGGAACATCTAGAATGCTGTGAGGATCATGTGTGTGCTACTGTAATCCTATCTGTGGTGATTTCATTCAGAGCTTTTCTCTGCACATTTGGAACTTCTCACAAGTATCACAGTTATCAGGTACCAGAGTTGTTTGGGGGATTATACGGTTTGTGAACTTTTACAATAGATGTTTATTTGGACATCATAAAGGGCTACTGATGGGGGGGGGGGGACTTTACCAAAGATTCTCAGTCAAACTTAGTAATCATGAGATGAGAGGACGAATTTTCTCAAGAAAGTTTAATTATTTTTAAGAGATGCATCCCGAGCTGTAATATACAGTACTAATATGTATGCATTTATATCTGTAATGTGAACAGGGCAGTTGTTAAAGACACAGTGGCATTCTTCTCTTGGTGTGATATATATCGTCCTGTTTATAACAGCCTGATTATGTTATTCCAATTGTCTAGGATTTTTCATAAAGACCACAACATTTGTTTTTTGGAAAAACAACAGAAACCACCTTCTTGAAAAATTGTTCATTTTCCTCCTCTTCATTATTTTTCTTGGATCTTTTTTTCATGAGATTGTTCCTATTTGGAAGACGAAAATGACTGGTAAGGGGCAGAGTCTAGCAATGTGAGATAGCAAAATTTAAAACATTTAAAACATTTACTAAAAAAGAACGTTAAGATGTGTCAAAGAAGAACTTTTACAATTATACATGTTGTTCTGAGGAAGGAAAGACTGGGAATGAAGGGAAAATGGTGGGGCGGGGGGCGGGGGGGGGGGGGGGGGGGGGGGGGGTTGGAATCTATGTCTATACTTCTATCCTGAGCAATCATGGGAAAGTTTGAGTAATCACACAAAGAAGTACTCAGTGACAATTGCGAAATGTAGAAACTACAAGAAACTTTAGTCAGTGAATCACATTACAAAAGTGAAAGTAATTCTGATTTATGCATAGAAAGTCAAATACAACTTATTTCCAAGTGATCATTGGATCACTTTTTGACAAGTCAGTCAATCTGCAAAAATGCCCAAGGCCACAAAAAAGGCTACATTAAAACATCTTTAAAAGTGCCAGAGATACATTCTATTATAAAGTCTGATTATTCTGGTGGCATTTATAGTATTCAGTAGATACTCATTAACCATGATATTGTTTGCAGACAATAACATCTCTAGAATTCTAGCTTACTGTATATACTCGAGTATAAGCTGACCCAAATATAACCCAAACCACCTAATTTTCCCACAAAAAAAAAAAACTGGAAAAAATGTATTGACTCAAATATAAGATGAGGGTGGTAAATGCAGGAGCCACTGGTAAATTTCAAAATAAAAAGAGGTACCGATAAAATTACATTAATTGAGGCATCAGTAGGTTAAATGTTTTTGAATATTTACATAAAACTGTAATAATAATAATAATAATAATAATAATCTTTATTTGTACCCCACTCCATCTCCCCAATGGGGACGCAATGCGGCTTACATGAGGCCTAGCCCAAAACAACAATTACATAAAATAAAACAAAACCAAAAACGCAAATAATAAACAATAATAATGCAAGTACATAAAACAAAAGACAACATAGCAATATACAATTACAATAAACACAACCACAATAACATGGGCGAGCTACATGTAATGGATAAAAGAAAACGGTAAAAACAAATTAAAAACTGTAATTAACTGTAATTTAAGATAAGACTGTCCAACTCTGATTAAATAATTATTCTAACCTTCTTCAATGCAAGTGCTTACATATCGTTCCAATAATAATAGAGTAAAATAATAAATGTAATAATAACAGTAATAATAGAGTAAAATAATACATGTAATAATAATAATAATAATAGAGTAAATAATAAATGTAATAAAAATAATAATAGAGTAAAATAATGTAAATGTAATAATAATAATAATAATAAATAGAGTAAAATAACAAATAACTTTGACTCGAGTATAAGCTGAGGGCAGGCATGTAGCTGGGGGGGGGGGCTTGAGGGGCTTCAGCCCCCCCCCCCCCCAAAAATTCTCATGGTGGTTAGCGAAAAGGCCTTACTGGTGCATTATTTAAACTGTTATATTTATTCATATCATGATCTGATCACCATACTCAATATATCCCATATGCATGGGGGTATTGGGGTAATGATACAAAAGGTTTGCTAGGCTAGACCCTCTTTCGCTCAGACTCAGCCCCCCCGAAACTCAGCCCCCCAAACCCCCCCTGAAAAAAATTCAGCCCCCCTCCCCCCCGAATTGAAATCCTGGCTACGGGCCTGGCTGAGGGGTTTTTTTCAGCCTAAAAATAGGGCTGAAACCCTCAGCTTATACTCAGGTATATACTGTATACTGTATGGTACTTTCTAAAAAGGAGTACTACTAAGTTTGTTTTTCTAGGATGGGTCTATGTTCTATGGGTTTATTTCAGCCTTGAACTTTTCTTCATGTTTAATTTTGTGGATCATATTTGTATTTTTAAAAAATATTGCATGTCTTGCTGACATTAATTTCTATACATGAAGAGGATTAAAATGCTGACAATAAATTCAAAAGTTACTGAATGTTAAAAACCCCACAAGCCTATATAGTTACTACTCCACTTATGCCTCTGCCCCCATCTTGCCCAAAGAACATGTCCTTCTTCTAATTATGCCTCCCCCCAAAAATCTTTCTTCTAGATTTTGAAGACATTTGGCTAAAAAAGCAACGTAACCGTACAGACATCCTGAATAATACCTGCCTGAAGAAGAGTTTGTCAAGCTCAGAATGGCAATTGGAGCATGATGTTGCTTGGCAGCTTTTTGTTGATGACAATCACAAATTTATTTACTGTGAAGTGCCGAAAGTCAGTTGTTCCAATTGGAAGAAAATCATTCTGCTCTTCACACTCAACCTAAGCAGGGATACAAGTGAAGTCAACCATGGGACAATCCACGTAACAAAACTTCTCAGGAGGTTGACTACTTACCCTCCTGAACAGCAAATGGAGCTTCTCACCACCTATACAAAAGTGATGTTCACCAGACATCCTCTAGAAAGATTGGTCTCAGCTTACAGAGACAAGTTCTTGCACTCTGAGCCCTACTACAGTATCACAGTGGCAAATAAGATCAAAGCATTCTCCAGAAAGGACACAAATTCCACAAAGAAAGTAACATTCCCTGAGTTTGTAAACTATCTGCTAACAAGGAATCCAAGTGAGATGGATGTACACTGGAAGCCCATGTTTTTGCTCTGTGATCCCTGTAACATCCACTATGACATCTTGGGGAAGTTAGAGACTTTGGTTGAAGATGCTGATCATGTCCTTAGGAGAATTGGAGCACCAGAGAGTCTCCATTTCCCAAATGGAAAAATTTATACTTCAGAGAAACGGACCAGCAAGGCTATCACCTCAAATTACCTCAAGCAATTGAGTTTTGACCAAGTACAGAAGGTCAAGGAGGTTTATCAGAAAGATTTCTCCTTGTTCAACTATTCTTGAAACTGACTTTTTCTGTAAGATACAATCATACCTCTGGAATTATCTCTGGAACTCAGGGTCTTCAGGAATAACATAAGGGATGTTGTATTGTAGTACTGTGACCGAATTCCCCAGTCAGAGACATTTGAATGCAATTTGAATGCAATCCTTTGAATACAATTTTCCTGCTTCTTGGCAGGGGGTTAGACTGGATAGCCCATGAGGTCTCTTCCAACTCTATGATTCTATGATTTAAAACATAAATGCTACATTCAGTCCATTCTAATCTATCTCGAATAGTATTTTGAAAATCAATCTTTTTTTGAGAGGTGATTAGATGTCCCAGATTGTTTCCTCTCTGTTGTTTTGCTGTTGTAATTTTAGAGTTTTTTGAATACTGGTAGCCAGATTTTGTTCATTTTCATGGTTTCCACCTTTCTGTTGAAATTGTCCACATGCTTGTGGATTTCAATGGCTTCTCTGTGTAGTCTTTGCCCCAGACACTGCCAGGCCATCAAATGCTAATCAAGGTGGTCAGTTGAAACATTCACACCTAGCTCCAGCAGACAAGAGTCTCACCCTAGTCATTCCACAGATATAGAAACCCCCTTTTTCCTAGTTCCAACAGACCTTACTATCTCTGAGGATGTTTGCCATAGATGCAGGCGAAAAGTCAGGAGAGAATGCCTCTAGAACATGGCCATATAGCCCGAAAAAAACCTACAACAAGCCAGTGATTCCGGCCATGAAAGCCTTCGACAATACATTGTGAGGTCTGTTGGAAACTAGGCAAGTGAGGTTTATACATCTGTGGAATGTCCAGGTGGACCACTCTAACAACTACATGTCAGACTACATAATCATGTGGACAAATTCAACAGAAAGGAAGAAACCATGAAAATAAACAAAATCCGACTATCAGTATTTAAAAACTCTAAAATCAGGACAGTAAATAAAGAACAACACTCAAAAAACAGGGGAATTCCAGACAAGAATCAATCAGGTCCAGCTGACATCTCCCACCAAAGGATTCCCCCAGGCAGGAAGCAGCTAGGCTTTGAAGCTATAAGACCATTAAATGCTAATCAACTTGGCCAATTGCATCATTCACACTTGTCTCAAACAGACAAGAGTTTTTTTCTCCCACCCTGGACATTCCACAGATGTATAAACTTCACTTACCTAGTTTCGAACAGACCTCACAACTTCAGAGGATGCTTGCCATAGATGTGGGTGAAACATCAGGAGAGAATGCTTCTGGAACATGGCCATATAGCTGGAAAACTCACAGCAACCCAGTGATTCCAGCCATGATAGCCTTTGACAACACAAGGATAACACTCTCAATTACCTCAGGGAACTGAGTTTGGAATGGTGCTTAGAATGATAGAGACTTCTAGTGCACTTCCTTGAATTACTATAGCCATGGTACCTTGAGAGGGAAGGCTTGGATTGAATCTTGATGTAATAGAAATGATTATTTCAGCAAATTGTGGAGGAGCATTTTAGCAGAACTCTAAGAGTGCATCTACATTGTAGAATTAATGCAATTGGATACCTCCTTTAACCCCCATGGCTTAGTACTGTGGAATCCTGGGATCGTAGTTTGATGAGGCACCAGCACTCTTTGGCAGAGGAGGCTAAAGCTACAACTCTCCTAATTCCATAGCATTGAGCCATAACGGTTAAAGTGTGTCAAGCTGCATTCTACAGTGTAGATGCATCCTCAGTCTCTTAACAAATCAAATAGCAAATTCTAGTATTTTAATATGAGGAGGGTGAGGAGAAATAATGACAAGAAATCTGCTTATGTACACATTCATATATCCACATCAGCACTTATGAGGCCCAGCATATCTCATAGAGTCAATTTTAAAAATTGAAAGAAAACTTCCAGTGGATGTCCTGCGTCCATCTCGCGGATTTCTGAAATCAGCTACAAACAAACATGTCAGGAGGTTGGGGGACTATTTGCTGGGACTGACATCTTCGTGTTTGGACTTGTTTTCAGGTACTGCATTTTAAAAAATCCACTTCTTTGTCCTGCATTATGATGCTGTCTGGAAGGGCTCTGAGATGTCAAAACAATTTGTCCAATTTTAATTTTTTTTGGGGGGGGGGGGAGGGAGTGGGTAAGCAGAGCAATAGTTGAAAAATACACCTGAGCTTGATAGTTGTTTATTTTTATATTTGTTTTTGTTCTCTCTTTCACAGTTAGTTGATTGTGACCAAAAAAAAAAAATTAATAAAAAGGAAAATAATGCAATAAAATGAAATGGAAGAACAATGAAATATCACTTCATAATACATTTTAAAATCGATTAAACACATACAAAACGTTTGTATAGGTCAGTGGTTCCCAGCCCATGGGTCACAAACTCAAATGGGGTTGCGAAGGGTTTTCGGTGAGGTTGCCAGGCAGTGCTAACCTATTACAATTTTTAAAAAAGAAAATTTAAAAACTACGTCATCCAAACGTCACCATGCTTGTTTTGAGTTTTACTCCCCTTTGTTTCTACATCTCTCTGTGACAACAGATTTTCAATGCTTCTTTAAATGAAAAACAAAGCAAGAAACAGATTAAATATTGAGAATGACATGATGGCATTAATGAAAACTCAACCGCAAATTTTTAAGCTTGTTAATGAGTTACAATTTCAATCATTCAATTACATATGTAAGAATTTAACATTATTTTAAATTCCATTATACTGAAAAATCTATTTTTGATTTGTTTTCATTTACCCTATTAAAAAGCCTGTTTTTAATGTATCGGGGACATGAGAGAAGCCTCCCACAGGATGGTAACACATCTGGGTGTCCCCTGGGCAACGTTCTTGCAGACAGCCAATTCTCTCACACCAGAAGCGACTTGCAGTTTCTCAAGTCACTTCTGACATGAAAAAAATGAATTGAGGTCGCGGGTCACTTTGTCTCTATAAAACGAGGTCGCAACTTGGAAAAGGTTGGTATAAGCAGATATAGTATTTCAGATAATTTTGAACCAAGCTGTAAACCTGACTGGAAAGAGTCTAGGCTGGCTGTGTCATCCAGGAATTGTTGCAATTGTCCCAGTACAGCCTGCTCTATCACCTTACCTAAGAATGGCAGATTAGAGACAGGATGATAATTGGCAAGGGTCATAGGATCCAAGCTAGGCTTCTTTAGCAAGGGACAAACCCTTGCCTCTTTTAGGTTGTCCAGGAAAAACCCCTGTTCAAGTGAGCCATTGATTATATTGCTCAACGGATCGAGTAGACCTTCCAGGCAGCTCTTGAACAGCCAAGAGGGGCACGGATCAAGGGAACAGGTGGTTGGTTTTGCAGCAGCCAGGATTCTGGTGATACGTTCCGTGTCAAGCGGAGTAAATCGATCAAAGATAGGCCCACTAGTCCTTTTAAATAGTCTTTAAAATATGCCTCATACCTTAAAAATAATCAGGCTTCCTGGCTCCTTTCAGTCAGCACTCTCATCACTGTCTAAAATCAAAATGGCAGTTAGAACCGTTGGTCTCAGCCGCAAGCCAGAGACAGCAGCCAATCAGAACTCTGGCCCCTGGCATGCTCAGCCAATCAGCTGCTGACACATCCTTTTCCAGTCAAACCCATTGCACAATTATGTCTCTTTTCAAATCTTCACAAATTTGATGGCGGCACATACAAAAACACAATACAACACAATATTACACAGTAGATAAAAACATTATGTTAAAATCCATTTTAAACATTATTATTAACCCTATAGCCATAACCTAGTCCAAAGCCTGTCCATAGTCAGATCTCAAAAACATTGTAATTGCTTTCAAGCCTGCTACACAAATGTCTGGTCCTAAAACCATGATTTGAGCTTCTTCCTAGGAGGTATGGGGCTGATCTAATTTCGCTAGGGAGCATGTTCCACAGGTGGGGGGCCACCACTGAGAAGATCCTGTCTCTCGTTCTCGCCAGATACGAGATGGCACTGCACTTCAATATTCCATATGACAATGTAAATGTGTCTGTTCACTTATGTAACATCTCCAGTCACTAGGTGGATGACATCCCTAATCACCACCTTCATCAGTGAGTTGTTATTTAGGACATTGGTTCCTAATTAAAGAAGGTATTCTATAAGATGTTTGTTTGCCAACCGGTAATTAACAAAAGCTACAGCAAGAGCATCTTATTTATTTATTTATTTATTTATTTATTTATTTATTTATTTCATGCATCAGTCTTCAGGGGGAGTGTAACCCCATCCAACACAGGCTGTAACCCTATCCCCTGTTCGGCCTTTCAACTGACCAGGATTTATTTATTTCATGCATTTCTACCTCGCGCTTCTCCCCCCGAAGGAGGACTCAGGGCAGCCTCACGCAAGCATCATATGATGCTATCAACATATAAACAATTAAAAATTACATTTAAAACATTAACAATAATTAGAAACACATTATAAAATTAATTAAACAATAAATTAAGCATGCCAATTAAAACCAAATCCAAGTCAGGGCAAATCCAATGTCACAGGTATCCTAAGATTTCTTTACAATTGCCGCTGTCCACTAATCAAACACCTGGTCCCAAAGCCAAGTCTTCAGTTGTCTTCTAAAGGACAGGAGGGAGGTGGCCAACCTGATGTCCTTAGGGAGAGAGTTCCACAGATGGGGGGCCACTGCCGAGAGGGCCCCGTCTCTCGTGCCCACCAACCGCATTTGCGAAAGTGGTGGGATCAATAGCAGGCCCCCTCCTGCCGATCTTAAGCTTCGTGATGGTTTGTAGCAGAAGATACGTTTGTATAGGTAATCTGGGCCAGAACCATTTAGGGCTTTATAGGTTAAAACCAGCACTTTGAATTGTGCTCAGAAGCTGATCAGCAGCCAGTGGAGCTGGCGTAACAGAGGAGTTGTACGTTCCCTGTACGCTCCTCCAGTGAATAACCTGGCTGCCGACCGTTGGACTAATTGAAGCTTCCGAAAGGTCCTCAAAGGCACCCCCACATAGAAAGTGTCGCAGTAGTCTATTCGGGATGTAACAAGAGCA